AGGTATTATGAATAACCTCCATTTATCTGATGAGGAACATGAGATTAAGAATGTTTTTTTTTTGAGTTGCCCTGGGTAGAGTTCCATGGAGTCCTAGCTCACAGCAACTTCGAACTCTTAGGCTCAAGTGATCCTCTTCCCTCAGCCTCCTGAATAGCTGGGAACACAAGTACCCACCACAATTCCAGGTTGGTTTTTTGTTTTGTTTTAGAGATGAGATCTTGCTCAGGTTGGTCTCGAACTCCTAAGTTCAAGCAATCCACCCACCTCGGCCTCCCAGAGTGCTAGGATTAGAAACATGAGCCACGCAGCCCTGGCCTCAGAATGTTTAAAAAAAAAAAAAATCGTCAAGATCACTCAGCTAGTGAATGGCAGAGCCAAGATTTAAAACGAGGTTGCCAACACCATGATCTTTCCAGCATAGCACCCTGCACAGTTTTGTTTTCTCATTCACTGAACTAATATGAGTCATCTCAATAAGATAAGAACTCACCAATGCAAGTGGGTCAGCTAGAAGCTTACTGTATTAGCATAAAGGAGAGTCATGAGGGGAGTCCGTGAAGCCACAGTCTACACATGTGATCTTTTGGGTCCTCCTTGGTCTATAGGCTCATGAGTAGGACCAGATAAAGGAGAAAAGTAGGGAGTCTCTGCAGCTTCTGGCTTCAGGAATGGTTATGAGTATGATGCCTTTACACAATGTCATGAACCAGGAGGTGAGGCTTGGCAAAAAAGGCAGGACGTTCCATCGTGAGCACCCTGAGTGGAGGTATTGGTTACATCCGTGTGGAGCTGCCAGAGGCAGGGTAACAGTGCTTAACAACATGGTCTTTGATCTTGACGCTGAGCCCCTACCCCTACTTTGCAGCTTTGGACAAGCTTACCTCTTAGAATTTCAAGTTCTCCTATCTAAAATATAAATAATAGTATCTACCTCCAAGAGTTATTGGAAGAAAAGAACTACACAACTTGTATAAAATGGTGACTATGATGTATAGGCAGAAAGCCTACATACTTATGCCTTTTTGCCTCTGAGAGTGAGCAGGAATAAAAGTCATGTTTTTCTACAGTCTAGGAGGCTCTGAGGTAGAACTCCCAGTATGGCCTTTGCCCTAGCTGGAGGAGTGTGGCATTCCACTGCACTGAGCAGGGCTAGGAGGGCTGGGGCATGTAGGCACATTGTTGGCATACTTTTGGAACCTCTGCATTGTGGATTGACAAAATCAAATTACTGCCTCCAGACAGCTTAAGGCTTCAAAGAATAGACAATCAGTTCCATCCCCCCGTGGCCATTTCTGTATCTATCAAGAATCGGGCCAGACGACAACAATGATGCCTGGCATGGGGGAGTACTCACTGAAGGGTATTTTACTAGTAGTTGCAAATGCTCAGGGCCAGGCAGCAACTGGGTGGAGTGAGTTGGTGTAAGCCCCTGTGCACCTAGTTCAGACGGTGGGGACTCCAGGGAACTGGAGAGGGCAGAGTCTCCATAGAGGGAGGTGGCAACGCTGCCTGGCATGGTTGCTGCCATGCACAATCAGGCCCAGCATCACCAGATCTCCTGCTTTTGTTTTTGTTTTCAAAAGAAGCCAGGAATTCCCCAATGTCCAAAGGTCATCAACTAAATTTAACTTAACAAATAACCCACATGCATGGGCCAGACTGAGGCTGATTGGCTGGCAGACTCTGGCCTTGGAGGTAAAGAAAGAAGAGGGCTAAAAGTAGAGTCCTGCTGAACGCCAGCATGAAAGACAGGTAGAGAAAGAAGGGTGATGAAGGCCAAAGAAGTCAGAGAATGGAGAGGAAAGACCCAAAAAGGGTGAGGTCAGTGCAGCCAGGGACAAGGAGTGTTTCAGGCTGCACGGGGATCACTCTGGCAGACCATACTTCACAAACTCATTAATAGTTGTGATCTCATCTCAAGACAGCATATGTAATTATTATTAAGGAAAGCAGGAATGAGAGATGATCTAAGGGTTAGAAATGAGGTCTCAAGGGGAGGAAAAACAGTATGTGGTAGAACTCTATTTGGATCAAAATCTGTCGAACCATGAAGAGGGCTCTATGAACGTGCAGTGGGCATCTTTTTGAATGCAAAGATAGACTTGGACACTGTTCTTCTGGCTAAAAATTGAAGGCAGGTAGGAAACCAGAAAGCTTGCCTCGCCCTCCATTCATTAAGGAACTAGCTAATCAGAACATGGAGAAGAAGATAAAGGTAAATGAAAACTCCAACACTCTAATCAATAATGAATTCAGGGACATTTTATTTGTTTCCATGTAAATATCAATATTATTATTAGCTATATTATTAGTAATACTCTCTGAGAGCCAGAAAAGCACTAAATACAAAATTATGGCTTAAAATAAGGGACCCACCCAGTATGCTTAAGAACAAATTATGATTTGGATCAAAATTGGAATCCATCTTTTAAGCATTCTCTACATAGAATTTACCAAACAGCAATTGATAATTTACCTTGTCGGCATCAAGAAAAAGGTTGAGGGAAAATGTTAGTTTGTTCAGGCAAAAAGAAATTACATATAGTAAAAGAAAGGCTGGCTTCTCTCAACTCACAGCAACCAGTGAGTAAACATTTCTTATGTGAATTCACAGCTAACACTATAAGCATAAGATTCTAAACTGTTAAGACAGCCAACACTCTCATTTATCCAGTGAGGAAAGCAGGATCCAAAAATGGGAAATTATTTGCCCAAGGTCATTTGGCTAGTTCATAACTGAATCAACTTTAGAATTCGGATCCCCTGACTTTTCACTCAGTTCTCTTTCCACAGAAGTCTACCATGTATACAGAAGGGTTAATTATTCCTTTGAAAGATAAGACTTAAAGGGACTGAGACACAGAAAATGTACATTTTGATGGGTGGAAGGTGGAGGAGTGAAGCCGGTGCCACAAATACCCCTGTGTGGCTGAAGGAAGGGAGCAAGGGAAGAGCTGCCCAGGTGCACCCAAAGGGGACGGCCACCTGTGAGGAAGGTAATAGCACCAACAACAAACAGCCCACACGGCACTTATGCCTAGGCCTGGCATGCGTGCCGCACACCTAGGAGAAATATAGACAGGAATGCCAAACTTAAAAAAGTAAACACGCATCTTCTTAAATATTACTTATAGTCATAAACGTTTACTTCTGCAGCTACCACTCGCTGAGTAACTACAACTTTGCAGATCATAGTCAAAAACAAAAAAGGAAACTATACTCATGCGTGCACACACACGCGTCTTATGAGTAGTCAAGACAGATATCCCGGAAGAGCCTACTCAGAATAATCTATGGAAAGCATTTAGCTCAGGTCCACAGTAGGTGCTTCAGAAATGTTTAGCTATGATGATGATTGTGTGAGTGTCCTGGCAGCCCCTCAGAGCTGGATCACTCTTACTTTATGCACAGTTTCTTTTATTTAGCATTTTCATTTAGTTTCTTTCCGTCGTAGATAAAAACAGAGAAGTGAGAGTATGGTTGGAGATAGATACTTAAGAAGAAATAGAAAACTGCATCAAACAAGCGGAAAAAATATCCTGATGTAATGGAGACCATTTGGTGTAAGGCTGAACAGCCCTCCACCTTTCTGGAGATCCTAGAGATAATAATTGCCATATTGCAGCACAGAACAATTCCTGTGATAGCAGCAAAATCATCCAGAAATTTCTGTCACATCTTGTGTCCTCTAAAGTGGCAAGGAAACATTTGTTACAGTTTTCCTCAAATTATCAAATTTACACTTGTAAAAGTTTGGGCACAGAGAAGTTTACAAATTACTTGGAAATTTGACATGAAGAAAAAAACACATTTGTCCACAATTCCATAAGCATGATATAATACATTATATCTTGTGAAGGGGACATGTTTTAATTAAACATGAGAAAATCCTGCTCTCTTAAGGCTTAGCATTGGCTGATCCTAGGTCCTTCTAGTTTCAGTTATCAATGTGAGATTATATGTGATAAGATGATATTTCTAGACGGAGACTGTTACTTTTCATATAGCACAAGTGCTTCTTAGTAGCATTTGACATTAAATTGCATTTGACCATGGGATCACTTTATTTCTGGAAACCAGCAATGCGGTCTATATGTACAAGACACAGCACTGAGTAGGCATCTCTGTATAGGGAGGAGGATGAGCTATGTTGCTTTCCCTGCTGGTGGCAAAGAATGCATTCTCCTCCCCAGATTGTTAAAGTCCTTATGACTTTTACCCTGAGAGGTCCAGTTCACTGCTATCCTGTGGGATAAATCATCACAATAAATCATCTCACTCTCCCTATATAGGAAAATCTCTCTCCGTTTTCTTTCTGGAACTGATTCGATTTTTCACACTGTCATATCCCCAGGAGGGTGGTTTGGAGGATCATTTTTATTAAGTATGTTCGGAGGCCAGAAAAGCAAAGTTGTAAAGAACAAAACCCAGAGTACACAGTTTGTCTTAGATGCCTGACTTCAAGTTCTGATTTTCACCAGCTGATGTTCCTTCTGAACTCCCACAAGATGAGGGAGTTTAAATTTAGACAATATGCAAACTGTGACCAATGAACCTTGGAGAGGCAGCTTGGCTCTCAGGGATTGGTTCACAACAACTTTGCCAAATTCATAGCCCCTCTTTGCTCTTCATTTTAACAATGACACACACACATTTAAAATTTCCGACAAATGGTAGTTACGTGTCATTTTCAATGACATCGGTTTATTATGGCAATTGCCTGACCAACAGAAACAAAGTGTCTTGAAGAATTACCTATCTTCTCTTCCTCTTAAAGGTGTCTAGTGGGCTTGAGGCAATCATGGGGGATGAGGGTTAGGTAATTTAGAAGATATAAGGATAAATAAGGTTAAGTGATATGTAAAATAAGTTTTAAATATCCCTGAGGTGGAGGAGTGGGCAGGATCTGCTCCTGGTCACATCCCATGTGGCTGAGCTGGGATAACTTCTTCACTTGAAAGGAAGAGTCTGTGTCCTATCCATCCCCAGTTTGGTGCTCATGCTGGTACCTGATTTTGGGGTGCTGCCATCAGATCCTTGGGGGCACAGTATCCACCAGGGTTTTGCTGAATGAGAATCACTTCTCCACCATTCACATGGAGGTCATCATAGGATGACCTATGGTCAGTGGTCACATTCAAGTAGACTTTGTCTTTGTAACGCAGCGAGACCACCAAGATGGCGTTGATAGACCTGGCCTTGCTCTGGAGTATGAAGGGATCCTCCTTCTGCCGGTAATGAAGGCTGACGTTAACCTCCTGGGAGAAGTATCCCCTCACGGAGATGAGATAAAACCCATCACAGTTAATGACGATCGAGTTGTTTTTCACCTTCATGATTTCATCCTGATTTTGGGATATGATGATGAAACCTTTCTCCTTCTCGTACTCTACAGAGGGTAGGGCAAGAATTAAGGAAAAAAAGAGTGATTCCTAAGCACGGCATTGGGCAACAACCTTCCAAAACTTCCAAAATCAAGTGTAGAGAGAGTAACAGAAAGAGAATTTGCAAAGAGTAAAAGCACAAGAGCACTGTCTTTCTGCCTGTGGAGAGGGGTTGCTTGACCAGTGGAACAGAAGAAGCAAAACTAATATCAAGAGAGTCCCAGATGGGCTGGGATACAGGAGCTGAGAGGATGTAGCAATTGTCACAACATACCTATGGCAGCAAAGGTAGCTTCCTGGTTTCCCTAATTTTTCAGAACAGAGAGAGGTTGACAACTTTGGTGCTTCCTTTCTTGCTCGGTGAAGGGCGGCAGCAGTGCCCCTTGCCTAGGGCCTGCACACAACCTCCACTTTGAAGCCTGACTCAGTAACTGCTTTTAACTTTTCTATCTGACCATGAAATGCAAATCTTCCACACGCCCCTAGGCATTACACTTACCAACAGCATTTACCCATCACATAAGCTTAATAATGCAACTCAGCACAGAAAATCTGCGGACTCGGGGTGGGCTCAGTAGGATGCAAGCAGAAGAGCTCAAGGACACAGACTTGCTTTTTCCTTCTATCTCCTATTGCTAGGTTTTGCTTTTTGGTTTTTTTCTGGAAGGAAGGTATCTTGGGAAGAGTTACTGTCACAGGAGAAGGAAAAGAAGGAAGAAGTGGAGGCAGAGTGACAGCTTCGGAATGTTTGTGCAGGACTATTCTAAATGAGGGCCAAGGAGCCTACATTTCTCTTATTTCCATATCTGCCTCAATATCATCCTGAATGACCAAGCAATCACATCTTGGACACATCTTGCCCGTGTTCCTTGGTGATGGAAGGAATTGGTTTTCACTGGTAGCCACAAATTAGTAATTCTTGCCTTATACTAGTCCCAGGAAGCATACTTGGAATTGAAAACGAAGACTGCTTCTGAAGGGCGAAAGGTCTTCCTCTTCAGACGCAGGAGAACTTAAGAATGGATGAATATTCATACAGAAACCCCTTTTCTTCCTACCAAGGGCCTCCCTCTACTCACATTAAGGTATAATTTTGTCCTAGGATAGAATTAGCAGGAGATGAGGCAACTTAGAGTCAGACAGACTTGTAAAAAGGAGCTAAACAGTGAGAGGACTTCCTCCACAAAGGGCTTCCTGGGAGGACTAAGTGAGGCACATAAAGTAATTATTACAGAGAGAAGCGTATATAGGGTTACTAATTACTCCCTTTTTCGTCTTTAAAACCTTTGTCCCTAATGAAAATAATATGCAGGCTACAATAATTCTGGGATTTAACTGGAATTTAATGCCTTCCCTAAGGAAAAAGAGAAATCTACATTCTGGAGGAAGTTAAGGGACTGAAGAGAAGATTCTTTCAAAAATATGAATCAATTAAACGTTTGACAATACTTACCAGTAAACTGTACTCTGATACTTTGAACTGGATGGTGTACCTGAGGGAGGAAAAATATATATATTTATGAAAAAAGAGTGAACAAATAGAATTAGCAGCTCATGTCCAACAAAGCTTGTGGGGAAAGACTGGAGAAAAGACTTGGCTTTTTCTGTGAAGATTAGACCCAGACTTCCCAACTGGCCCCAGGCTTTTCCATAACATCTCTTAAAATAAATGAGGACTATTCTGCTCTTTCATGCAAGCATCTGAGATATGTCTTCATTTCTGCTAAACTCTTCTTTGGCGTATTGTTTTTACTCACTGAGTCCCAGCTTCCCCATCTTGGATAACAGAGCACTTAATGGTCATCTTGTTAAGAAACCCTTTCATACATAGAGATTCCGTCATGGAGAAAGAAAAGCTGTGACCAACCAATCCATCCTTTCCACAGACACCCAGAATGCACTAGGACTGAGTTCTGGTAGCTTCTGGCCTGCTTACTCTTTCTCTGTAATAGAAGAATAAAAACTTCTCCTATTTTTAGGGGACAGAGCCACGAGAAACTGCTCTAATTGGCTCAG